AGTGTGGAATCCTTCAGGAAACTGCTGAGAAGCGTCGAAGACGGACAGGTAGACGTACAAGCAGCAGGGGATAGGGCGATTGAAGGGTGGGAGTCCGTAGTAAACGCAACTGCAGAGAGAGTAGTGGGAAAGAAGGTGGTACGATGTGGGGTATCGGTTAAGTGGTGGGATGACGAGCTGAAAGAAGAAATGGGGGAACGTAGAGAAGCCTTCAAGCAGTACCTGAGTGAAGCGTATGAGGAGGGTTGGGAAAAGTATAGGGCCAAGAGAAAACAGGTGAAGGGACTAGTGAAAAAGAAGAAAAATGGGTGTGGAAAAACGAGTATACGCCAAGTAGATGGAGGGAAGGAGTGGTTGTGAACTTGTTTGAGAAAGGAGAAAAGACTGACCCAGGAAACTACAGGGGGGTCACACTGATGAACACAGTAGGAAAAGTGTTCTGTAAGCTGCTGAACGATAGGATAGTGGGAGTATTGGAGAAGGAACATAGCATTAGTGAGGGCCAGGCAGGTTTCCGCAAGAAGAGGGGGTGCGTAGACCACGTGTTCACGGTAGGGAGAATCATCCAAGGTAGAAAGAGGGCGGGAAAGCCGACGTACTGCTTCTTCCTGGACGTGAAAAAGGCATACGACACCGTTTGAAGAAATGGGCTGTGGAAACAACTGTCCAAATACGGGATCAAGGGCAACATGTAGAGAGTGTTGAAGAAGATGACAGAGTGTACGAAAAGCGCGGTCATGTTGGACGGAGAACTGTCNGGTGTTCATCAACGATCTGTTGGAAGTCGTAGAGGCAGTCCGGAAGGGAGTAAAAGCAGGGGGCACGGAAACGTCGGTGTCAGGAATGCTGTTTGCGGATGATTTTGTCGGTATGTCGGACACCCCTGAGGGACTGCAACTGCAAGTTGACGCGGCGAAGAAGTTTACTGATAAGTGGAGATTGTCTGCCAACGTTAAGAAGAGTGCCGTCATGGCGGCGAAGGGCAGGAGGGCGCCGGTGCCGCGGCGTGGCACCAGCGCGGCGGTACCGTTCGGCAAAGTCCACATCGACCTCACGGGCGCGTTCTCTGACGCGCTGGACGGCTCCCGGTACCTGATCATGTTCGTGGACAGCGCATCGTGGTGGCAACGGGGGTACGGGATGCGGGCCAAGAGCGACACCCTGAAGTTCGTGCAGCGGTTCCTCGCCGACATGAACGGCATGGGCCCTCCGGGGTGTTTCCGCATGGACAACGGCGGCGAGTTCACCGGCTCCGCGTTCACCTCGTTCTGCGACGCTGCTGGCATTCGGCGCGAGTACACCGCCCCCGACACCCCCAAGCAAAACGCGGTGNGTTCAACCTCTCCGCGACGAAGGCCAACCTGGGCTGAATGTCGCCGTTCGAGGCGTTCTTCGGCCGGAAGCCGCCCCTCACCGTCGTCCCTTTTTTCCAGGAGGGGATGATGCGCGTGAAGCGGGCGACCAAGGCGGACGTCCAATCCGCGCGGTGCTTCTACCTGCACGGCGACAACAACCACTCGACGTCTACCGCGGGCGTTCTTCGCGCTGACACCGGTCGCCTCGCCCTCACCAACAACTTCGTGCGAGTCAACCGCCGGGCAGGAGCATGGCGCCGGTGCCGGGCGTCGGGGGGGATTCTTCGGTCACCGCGGCGCTCTCGCCGGCCGCCGCCGTACCTGCGGCCAAGGCCCCACCGCCGCCGCCCCCGCCATCAAGGACGTACACGCCTGCACCAGCGACAATTGCACCGCCGCCGCCCGCTTCCCCGCCGATCTTCACAGGATCCTCAGCCCCGTCGCCGATCTCCGACGCCCCATCATCAGCCCCACCGTCGACCGCAGCCACGCCGCCCCGTTCGCCCCCGGGCCTGCCGCCGCCGCCGCCGCCGCCCACCAGCGCCGCCACCCCCGCTCCCCCGCACCCACCGCTTTCAAAACGAGCCATCAAGGAGTTGGGACGAGGACACGAGGGTTCACGGCCGCACGCGCGGCGATGGAGTGCGGTTCATGGATGAACAACAACAACCGCCGTCCGGTGGCGGCGCCGCTCTCCACCACCGTCTTGGTCTGCTAGCGATGATGGACAAGGACACCTTCATCTCGTCGCTCGCCACCCGGGAGGCCGCGGATCAAGGACGCCGCGACCTACCGACCCCGCCGCAGCCGGATCCGAGTCTTGGAGGCCGTGGAAGCGGGGGGGCTGTGGGAGCTGGGGGGCCCGTGGATTCCGGGGGGGGGGAGAGACCGCAGATGTTCGCAACGATGTTCGCCACCCGCGAGGATGTGGACGCCGCTATTCGCGCCGAGCGCCCACCCGACAAGATGCCAGACCTTCCTCACTGCCTCGCCAGCGACCTCCGCGTGCCAAAAACGTTCAAGGAGGCCACGCGGTCTTAACATTCAGAATTGGGGAATGATCCAGTCGATCGAGAGTTTTTCGGGTTGTTGGATCCAGTAACTTTTAGTCCGGAGTAGCAACCAGTAGAGAACGCCATCAATGCTAAGTGGGTCTTTAACCGTAAGGCAGACGAGTACGGATGGCCGACGAAATTCAAGGCAAGACTTGTAGCGTGGGGGGACACGCAGAGGGCTTCGATTGATTTTGGAGAATTGTTTGCACTCACCGTTTCAGTGTCTAGTGTACGCTTGTTAGCAGCAATAGAATGTGAGCAGAATCTTGACTTGTGCCATTTCGATATTCAGCAGGCTTTTGTGCAGTCTGAGCTTGGTGAGGACATTTTCATGCGCTTACCGCAGGGGTGTGGTACGCTATCTGGCCTGATCGTGAAGCTGTGCAAGAGCCTGTATGGCTTGAAGCAGGCGTCACGACATTGGCATGCGCACCTGACGAGGTGTTTGTTACTTTTAGTTATTTTGCAGTGTCTGGCAGATGCATGTGTTTTTCGGTTGACGGAAGAGGGACGTGTGATCATGATCATCGTGGTCCACGTGGATGACATTTTGCCGTAGGGCAGTAAGAGAGGTGTGACAAGTTTGACAGGGATCTCAACGAGATGGTCCCCGTGAAGAACCTTGGAGAGTTGAGGTGGTACTCCGCGTGCTTTTACGAGAGAGACGTAGAGAGAGGGCTGTTGAAGATTTTGCAGCAGAGGTTTGCCGAAGAGTTGGCTGCGGAGTACGGCATTAAGTGGGGAAAAAGTGTGCCCTTGCCTGTGAGCGTGGAGCTCACAGGCTTTGACGAGAACGAAGCGTGCGCTGATGTCCCTTTTCGCGAATTGGTAGGATCTCTGGTGGTGTGGTTGGCCATTCAAACAAGGCCGGACATCGCGAATGCAGAACGAGCAAAAGCGCGGTATTGTGCATCTCCCAAGATGGTGCATTGGAAGGCAGCACTCGGTATTTTAGGGTACGTACGTAGGCCGAGTTGGATGGGGAATACATTTGAGAGGGGAGTGGTGAGTGGGATGAGCTTGCAGGTGTTTGTGGATGCCGACTATGCAAGCAAGGCGACAGACCGTAGATCGGTGTCAGGAGGGCTAGTGATGTGTGGGGGTGGGGGTTTGACTTGGTTTTCGAGGGCGCAGAAGTGCGTCACGCTTTTTACCACGGAAGCAGAGTACGTGACAATTGCCGGTCTTGAAGGAAGTGTTGTTTTTGAGGCAGGTGTGGCGTTTTATGTTGCCAGATGCGGGTATGCCGTGCATCCCGGTGTTCGAGGAGAATCAGGGAGCGATTCAGATTGCGCACAAAACCCGATCATGAACTCCAACTCGAAGCACATCGATGTACGGCATCACTTTCTCAGGGAGCTGGTACCAGAGGCAAGAGATTTTAATTACTCATGTGCCAACGCAATTTCAGCATGCAGATTTCTTGACGAAGGCTATTAGACTAGCAAGGAGTCTTTTGCGCTGCACCGTGACTTTGTGATGAACTTGCAGTGAACGAAGTGTTTTGGGGTCGATTCGTATTCTGTAGTGGAGAAAGCAAGAGAGAGACGAGATTTGAGCAGAGAAAGAGAGTCTGGTGAAGATGGTAAGAGTCTTGGTTGTGTTGGGATTTTTCTTGATTGTTTTGGAGGAGTTTTGGTTGTGTTGGGATTTTTCTTGTGATTGTCTTGGAGGAGTTTTTCTTGTTTTGGAGATGAGGGTAATATTGACATGTTGCCGGAGCATGACGATGCATACGAGCAGAAGGGCTATTAGATATACTCGAAGCATAGCATGATGGGTGATATCTTACGTATTCATGTGCTGAAATTGCAGTGACGAGTGCGGAGGAACAGGAAGTTTAATCATATTTTCCTTGGGAGTGTGATGGAATGGTGGAGAATCGGAGATTCGTTGGGTACTTTGAGCGCGATGAGCGTGAACCGTGACTTTATGCCGTGACCGGTTGACGAGTTGAAGCACGCCCCCGATGAACACAACACGTTTTCCTATTCGTCCCTCCCCTACCACGGCCTGTCATGGCCAAGCTGCTCTAAACTCCCAACACACAGAACTGAGCCACCCGAATTATCGATCAGCTTTTTCGGATATATTGTCGGCAGCCGACCATGTTTAGCTCGCGGGCTTACGCACAAACTAGTCTATTTGCTTTCCGAATTTTGACGTGCGCTTAGCAATCCTAATCATTATGTCGAGTTCACCTGTCCTGGCGCAGAAGACTCCCTGATTGGCGCGTTGTAGAGTTCCTTTCTATCTGGAGGTAGCTGCTTTCTGCGCGCTGCTTGTTTTTGTGCGAGCTTTTCTTTCGTCGATTGATGCTTGTATGTCATCTGTTGATGCTATTATAGTGTAGGTGTGCAGTATTTCGCGGCTACAGTTGAGCGGCTACAAGTTGAGGTTTTCGGGGGGGGGGGGGCAGTCATAGTCTTGCATGGCGTAGTCGTTAGACCATTGACCTCGCATCCCTACAAAGCCGGGACGGAGCACGCTGGGTTCTCACCGGACCAGGCTCTCACATCACCAAGCGCGAAGCGCCGTGAGGTATTCGGCGAGTCGCATGAAGGGTGCGCTGCATCCTGCTAAGGGTGTTCGGCATCTTGTGCTTACTTCCTTGCGTACGGATGACAGCTGCGTATGTATGACTTGATACGTTTTCTGGTGCATTCACTTCCAGAGACAGTTGTATGCACCGTGTGACCGCCTCGAGGATGCGTGACCAATTTAACACAACGTGGTGCGATCATTCCCCTTGCGCGCAATGAGGCTTCCATCCCGCACAACATGATCTACTCGACCACCATTATGGGTACCGCCAAAAAACAACAGAGGTAAAAAAAAAACCCGGTAACTTGGCTGCCGAGTTCACGAAGTGAATTGGCTTGTTTTACCACGTCGTTGCCAAGCGACGAAAACCCAACCCCGATGGCAAATCCCGGGGGGGAAGTTTTCTGGGGAGGTTGCAAAACCTGTCTATGTTTGTCGCCATATTTGCCACATGCAGTGGTGAGGCGATCGTTTTGGAATGCCGTATTCTATGTAGGTATGTTCAGTGGCGTTGAACCTGCAAAGTGAACACTGTTTAGGAGTATTTGCAGCTCCTGGTCAACGAGAACGGCCCATGGACCATGAGCGCAAGGCCCGTGGTTTTCATCTGGAGCTTCTTGGTTCCTCGTCATTCATAACACGAGGGGCTGCTCAAAATCTACATTAATAGATGAGAATGTTTGAGAGTTTCATTGAATGTGCATTGGCATGGTCTTGTTTGTCTTCAGTGTGATTTCACACCATCGCGAGTACTGCAAAATTGCCCTGGCACGTATGTATCTGGCATCCGCTGCGAAAAAGTGTGAGCTGAAACTGGTTCAGAAACATACATATGTATGCAGCGATACCTCACGTTCCTTCCCAAGACTAGCTCGACTGGTGGTTGTAAGAACACATACACGTGGGGACACCGAAGCGGCTAGTTTCCTGCAGGGGTATGCCACGTTGCTAGCCTGCCCTCGAAAGGCCACGGAGATATAAATGAAGTCGTGAGGGGCAACAACTTAGAACGATCGCTCACGGCATCAAAGTCATGGAGGCCGTTTTTCTCGAAACGTGTCATCCATTGCCGACTGCAATACCTGACAGTTGAAGCAGCGAGCCGCGTCCTCCTAACTGCAGAGAGTACGCTACCGTCCCTACGTATTCTACGACAGCCCGTCTCAAAGCTGTGACACCTTCTGCGGACTGACTACCGCTGCTCACAAAACATTATGCTTTCATTCCTTCCCACTGCGCCTTCTCAGATTCCCACTCCCGATCGAGGCAATTTAAAGTTGCCCGTTTGCTACCATTTGCGTCCACCTGCCCGATCGGAAAAGACGACGTTGTGTTCACTGTGGCCGTTCGGCGTTTGTAGGTCACTCCCGAGAGCGCCTAAACCCTTGCAAGGCGAGGGAACGAACACCGCTTGCGCTCGCGGCTGCCACGGCAATATTGGTGTTCGTCTGAAGTCAAGACAACGCCTACACAGTCCCTCACACAACAACTTCGGCCTTGTGATCAGTGGCGCAGAGCATACCCGATGAGGTGCGTGGGCAGAGCGGCCTCTTCCTTCCACACCACGACCTCGTCGAAGTTAAGCGCTTGGCCCACCTGACCGAACAACAACCGAGGTAGCACGGGGGACAACGGACTTGGCATCGGCTGCGTGTCCCCTATCTCGGAGTTTCCGTGGTAAACGAGAAGCAAGAC